GAAGTGAAATATGCTTCATCCAAGAGGAGGTAATTTAAAGTCACCCCATTAGTAAGCTACTTCTCAGTTATTTTGGGCAAAAGCATTCACATGTGCAACTTGTAAGTTTGCATGGTAATGTGGTAGCTTTTCTGTGTAGCTGTATACATGATGAGTCAGAATTTCCTCTTTATGGTGTGTAGAAAATGAATAGCAAAGGAGTTGCCTGAAGATGTAATCCATGTCATGATAAATCCTGCAGTTTGACAGACAGAAGAACTGTGCTTGTACATCTTGATGTCCAGATTATTTATGATCAGATTTTATTGTGCTATGTGGTGTTCATAAAAGCAGGGTGAGCATCTGGGAGGAAAAAAGTTCTCAGGAAATTGTAGAAATTCTGAGAAAATACGTAATTTCTGCTCACAGAAGAATTAAATGGAAGTGAGGTAATTCAGAATGCCTTCTAGCAAACCCCAGTCATCTTGATTTTTAGTGAGCAAGCCGAATTGTCATCTTCCCTCCTTGGGAGATCATCCGTGACAAACTGATAGCATTCATTGACACACAGGAAGCTAAGGCTTCTTGGTCCGGTTTGGATTCCAGGTGCTGCTCACTGCTGAAGGCTCTTCTGAAACTTGAGACCATGTTCTTGAATTGCTGCCTGCATCAGGTCAGCAGGTTTTAGGTTTTATGAAAGGGGATGTATTTTTCTTTGGGTATATAGCTCCTGTTAGAGCATATGTCACCTGTGCTGAACGGTATTTGAGTATGACAGGTCACTGTGGTGGGTTGGTTTGGTTTTGTGTTTTTGGTTTTTTTAAATTTTTTCCTTTTTTTTTTTTTGATTGAGTTATGATGAAGCTATTTTGATGCTGATACCAAATCGATCTGTTAAACATAGCAACCAATGATTTTTTCCTACCAAAATATTAGCACGCCCAATTTATATTTCTGTGTGACTCAGTCTTGCTTGTGGTTTTTAAAATTTTTTTAGCTAAATTGATTCTTCAACTTCTGCCCATTTCATTTCTGTGATAGATAGTTAAGCTTTCTTTTAGTACATGTGAGAGGCTACACTGTTTAGTAAATCTGCTATAAAATGGTAAACACTGTCAGTGCTGTAGATCTGTTTTTCTCTTCTAAGCTTTGTTTGTGGTCTCTTGTGTGCCATGGCCTATGCACTAGAACCTAAACATGAGTTTTAAGATAGATTTAAGAGTAATTCTTGTTTGAGGATATTAATTTAATCTGTTTCTTTATATAGCAGGCCATGAACTATATGGCATATTTTTTCCAGGAGGAACTCAGGGGATTTTCTTTAACCCCAATTCCCCACAAAAAACCCTAAATACTACTTTTGTTAAATGCCTGGCTTGTGCCAGTTAGCTTTTACAGCCTTAAAAGCCCTAAAAATAAAATGTATGCGTGTTGATCAATAGCTCCCGTTGTTGCTTGTGTTAGTCTGAAATGCTATATCATGAGAAGTTACCGGGGGCCGGATGGGTGGGTAAGTTTCTTTGACATCAGCTCTAACAAAGACTTAGAACTAGCCCAATGGCAGAAATTATACTAAACCACGAAAAAGTGTTGAAAGCAGTAGCAAAAAAAACCCCATGTGTTTCTTGGAGAAAAAGTCCACTGTATTTCTGGGTTCCTGGTCCTTCTTCCAGTAATCTGCAGGGAAGACTTTACATCGCAGAAGAACTGGATAAATGTCCATTTTTTTAATCTCCAAGAGGACTTCTTGGTAGGCATCCTTCTCACAAAAAGCTTGCTGCGTTGTGCTTGCAGAGCCATTTCATGGGAACATGGAGCACAGCAGCTCTGCAACAGAAGTGGCTGTAACAATCACCCTTTCATAGCAACTCTGGTTCATGATCTAGCAATCATTTACCTCAGCTGCAGGAAGTTTGCGTCCTCCTTATGGCACATCCCTTTACCACAAACTGTTGGAACTGATATGCAGCAAGGAACAACAATGAGCTTGGTGAGGTGGCAGCTCTTCAGAGAAAGATCTGCATTCTTTTGCAGATTTGAATACAAATTGACAGTGTTGCCGAAAAAAAAAATAAAATGCAAATGTCATCTTGGGGTACATAAGTTGGAACAGAGCCTATAAGGCACATGAAGTAATGCCTCCGTTCTGCACAGCACCGATAAGGCTGCTGCTGCAGCAGCCTCACCTGCTGCCTTTGGTTTGGGGCACAGCATTTCAAGGAAAAGGCAGATCAGCTGGAAAGCACCCAAAAAAGAGCAGTGAGAAGGACTGGAGGTCTTGAAAATACCGTGTATTGGACTGCGTTACTCAGCATTAAGAAGAGGAGGCTGGAGATGAATCTTCAGACACTGGAAAAAACTGTTATAGGGAGGAAAAAAATAAAGAAAAAACCAGATCAACAAC